TAGGATATCTTCGAGGGAAAAATCTACTTTAAATAGTGACATTTGTGTGTGTGTGTTGGTAGCACATTCTTAGAATTCATAACAAAATTAATTCAACAGTCAAGTGCTAGGTGTGCACATACGGTCCCAGCTACTCCTGAGGCTGAGGGAGGAGGATTACTTGAGCCTAGGAGTTCAAGTCCAGACTGGGCAATATAGTGAGAGCCCATCTTTAACAAATGAATAAAAAAATAATTAATTCTGTTATCTTGGGAAGAATTTTCCAGAGATCTTCTCTTTTGTAGCTATGGCAAGAAGGCAGTGGCGCTTTACCTCCTTTTCTTCTCTCGACATGGTGATTCCTCTGATGGATCTGGGCAAATTATTTTGACAACTTCTGTAAAGCATTCACCATTCCAGGTGCCATTAGAAACATTTGTGATTCATGGGAATAGGTCAGTATGTCACAGGAATTTGGAAGAAGTTGATTCCAATCCTCATGGATGACTTTGATGAGTTCATTATAAAATGACAACAAAGGATTTAGGATATTACATAAATGTAGTTGATAAACCAGCAGCGGAGTCTGAGACAACTGACATCAGTTTTAAAAGAAATTGTACTCCGGGGAGGCGGAGGTTGCAGTGAGCCAAGACCACGCCACTGCACTCCAGCCCGGACAACAGTGCAAGACCGTGTCTCAAAAAAAAAAAAAAAAGAAATTGTACTGTGGGTAAAATGGTATCAAACAGCATGGCCTGGTACAGAGAAATCTTTCATGAAAGTAAGAGTCAACTGATGGAGCAAACTTCATCGCTGTCATCTTAAGAAACTATGTCCATACGTGGAAGAATGAAAATAGACCCCTCTTACTGTATTAAAAAATCAACTAAAAATGGATTAAAAACTCAAACATAAGACCTGAAACTACAAAACTACTAGAAAAAACATATGGGAGATCCTTCAGGACAAAGATTTTATGGCTAAAACCTCAAAAGCACAGGCAACAAAAACAAAAATAAATCAATGAGACTATGCATTAAACTATATAGCTTCTGCCCAGCAAAGGAAACAATCAACAGAGTGAAGAGACAACCTGTAGAATGGGAGAAAATATTTACAAACTATTCATCAAACAAGGGACTAACATCCAGAATACACAAGGAACTCAAACAATTCAACAGCAAAAAAAAAAAAAAAAACCCCAAATGATCCCAATAAAAAGTAGGCAAAGGACATAAGTAGACATTTCTCTAGAAAAGACATACAAATGGCAAACAAGTATATTTTAAAATGCTCAACATCACAAATCAGGGAAATGCAAATCAAAGGGACAATGAGATACCATCTCACCACAGTTAGAATGGCTAGGAGCAAAAAGACAAAAAAAAAATAACAAACGATGGGGAGGATGTGGATAAAAGAGAATTCTTATATACTGTTGGTGGGAATGTTAATTAGTACAGTTATTATGAAAAATAGTATGGCGATTTCTCAAAAAAACTAAAAATAAGCCAGGCACAGTGGCATACACCTGTATGTAGTCCCAGCTGCTCAAGAGGATGAAGTGGGAGGACTGCTTGAGACCAAGAGTTCAAAACTAGCCTGGGCAACATCCCAAGAGTCTATCTCCTTAAAAAAAAAGTCTGGAAACAAAGCTACCACATGATCCAGCAATCCCACCACTGATATTTATCCAAAGGAAAGAAAAGCAGTATATCAAAGGGATACCTATACTGTCATATGTATTAGAGTACTATTCACAATAACCAAGATACAGAATCAACCTAAGTGTCCAATAATGGATAAATGGATAAGGAAAATATGGTATAAGCCTGATGCTACCATACCCAAAGTCCTAGCTATTTAGGAGGCTGAGGCAGGAGGATTGTTTGAGCCCAGGAGTTCTAGGCTATCCTGAGCAACACAGCAACACACTGTCTCTAAAAAAATGAAAGAGTATGTGATGTCTGTGTGTATATATATACATATACACCCACATACAGACACATAATGGAATACTATCTAGCCATAAAAAGAATGAAATCCTGTCATTTGTAGCAACGTAAATAAAACTGGAGGTCATTATGTTAAGTTAAATAAGCCAGGCGCTGAAAGACAAATACCCTGTGTTCTCACTCACACGTGAGAGCTAAAAAAGCAGATCTCACAGGGGTAGAGAGTAGAATGGTGGTTACTAGTGGTAGTGTGGAGGGTGGTATTGAAGAGAGGTAGATTAATGGGTATAAACATATAGCTAGATAGAAGATATAAGTTCTAGAGTTCAATAGCACAGTAGGGTGACTACAGTTAACAACAATATATTTTATATTTCATAATAGCCAGAAGATTTGAAATGTTCCCAATAGAAAGAAATGCTAAATATTCAAGGTGACCAGTATCTTCAATACCCTGATTTGATGATTACACATATTTTATGCATGTATCAAAATATCACATGCCTCATAAATGTATATATAAGTATGTAAAATTATTATGTATCCATTTTTTAGGGAACAAAAAAGAAATTGCCATGGCTAACACAACCTTCAGCCACCACCACCCTGATCAGTCAGCAGCCATCAACATCAAGGCAAGACTCTCCACTAGCAAAAGGTTATGACTCACAGAAGGCTCAGATGATCATTAGCATTTTTTAGCAATAAAGCAAATTAAGGTATGTGCATTTTTTGACATAATGCTCCCACAACTTAATGGACTACACTATAGTATAAACATAACATTTAAACATACTGAGAAGCCAAAAAATTCGTGACTCACTTTCTTGCTTGTGTAACAAAAACCCAATCTGAGTAGAAACAGAGCCCATTATAAAGGCACAGAGCTGTTTTATACAAGCCAATAGGAGGAATGAAACCAGGTCCCAAGCAGTTATGTAAATCAATCTGGATGTAAACTAAATACTCAGAAGGGGTCATCAGCAAGATAATTTAATGAAGAGACTACAGAAATGTGTACAGGTTAACAGATCCCAAAAGGTATGATGAGGCCCCAAGAGCAAGCAAGAGTAGAAAATGAATATTATGTCTTAGCTAAAAGGTCAAGTGGAGAGAATGTCACCATAGTCCAACAAGAGCCACAGCCATGAGAGAGGGTCCACCCAACAGGCACTGTGGCTGCTGAAAAATGAAACCACTACCAAAAATGCAGTGGAGCAGAGGAAGCAGAGGAAATAAATATCTTGACTGCTTTCTTCTCTCATTCCCTTAATCTCCTGTAGGTGCACCTACTGTCCAAACCCAAACAGAAGCCAGAAGGCAAAGGAGCACAGATCCACAGAAGTCAGCCTCCCAAGGCACACAGCAAAACGGAGAACAGAGGAGAATGGATCAGTGAGGGAAGAAGGGTGTAAAAGAGAGAAAAACCAGCACAAAATGGAAACATGTTACCACTCTGTAACAATCCAAAAATCACTAATTCACGAGCATGGTCTTTCCCAGGAACACATTCCCTGTAATATACAAAGTATGCATCTATACAGAAAATTAGGAAGATAAAAAAAAGATGGTTAATAAAAGAATAAAAATAAAAATTTTAATAGAAAACTCTGTACACTTAGTAATAACTTATGAGTTGCTTTGTTACCAATTATTTTACTTTAAAACTCAAATGAGACATGACCACATTATTCTTAGCTTTTCTAATTCAACTCTGAAGAAATACTAAAATAATATTGAGGCATATGATACACTGTGACAATATTTAACAATTTTTAAAGATCCTAACACCATTAAACACCACTGATACATATCAATAATAAAAAAGTATCAGTGCAAAGCAAAATTTTCTCCTCCAAAGCTGTAATAAATATAATTGAAACTGGATACCTATACCTACTTTTTGACACTTTTATATCCTTTGATTTGTCCATGATAACAAATTATGATACAGTAATGCTTTTGGGAAAAGTTTACATAAAAACAAAGATAGTTACACATTAATTTCATAAAAGCTAAAAACATAGAGACTTAAAACATAGACAATAGCAAAGCACACTACATTTCCAATAGCTTACCAACTGAGAAATCTACAGATCCAGAAGGTAAAATATGAGCCTTGATGAGGTCCTTCCAAGTTTTCAAGGACAAAAACTTCCTGAACTGAAGAGTTATCTAAAGAACTTATTTGCCAAATTGCTGTTAGATTCCTTTTAAAAATTGTTTTTTTAAAAAACAGTCCTGCAGCTCAATTTTTAAGAGTGAGAAATTTAATTTTATGTACCTTTTGAAGAACAGAATTGTGTTAGAAGACCACCAAATAATTCAAGGCTGACAGTAGGGCAAAAGAAAACTGAGGTAGAAAAGTATTTATGTCAAAGCTACTATAGCACACATAATAACATAAACACAAAACACTAAGAAAGTGGAAATAGTGAACAGAATTCATTAGCCAACCATTGCTTTTGCTAGTTCTCAAAATATGTCTACCTAATTAATATACAATTTTATAGCTCTTTATCATATGAAGTGGGCTAATAACTACAACTAAAATATTTCACCTAAGCATTCTTACTGGACAGTATACGTATATGGCAGTAGGAAATGAAAACCAGCTTAGAAAACCGGTTTGGAAAGTACAGAACATGCGCTATGCTACAGCCTGTGTCCTACATAACCTTTTAAATGCATGACCTTTAAGTTGCTGAAGGTTGCCTCAGAATTTGGCTCAGTTTGATCGAAACATCTGTTCCCCTTGCAGGTATACTGTAAGGACTTTTTTCTCAGTTGGATTCAGAACACAGCAAGTGAGCCCTTGTCTGTCCAATCACACAGACCCCAACACTTGTAAATCAAGTTCTGGGAGGACAACAGCAGGTCCACATTCCGTCACCCTTTCTCAGCCAGCTAGGCCAACTGACTGCTGTGAGAACTGCTCTTATCATGTCATCAAATCAAAACATGTTGAGATGAGGGACTATAAGAGGCATCTGCAGAATTCCCAAAATGTAGTGACTTTGGAACATTGACAGATGCATCTGTCATTTTATACCTTCAACTAACCTGATGTCCACTGGCCCGACACAGTAAAGCTGTCCAAGATCGATTCCAATTCTTTCACATTATTTTCACATGTCTCTACTAGGAAGGCCTGGTGCTTCTTAGCCTTTTAATTAAGAAAAAAATTACACATAATAAGGTCACGTATTATAAGAGGGGCAGATTTTCAGTGTGAACATATATAACACAAGTATAAACAAGATAATGATTCCATTCAAATATATTATTAATAAATCATCTTTCTCTCTTAATCCTACCTTTTACTTGGCTTAATGTAACACTGTACAAGGTCTTATTAACAATTTACTGAGGAGTTAGTGCTGGCACTATTCTAAGTGTTTTAGATACAGTGATTCATTTTATCCTCACAATAACCCTATCATGGAAAGGCTATTATTATCCCAATTTTAGAGATAAGAAAACTGAGACAGAGGAATTATGGAACACTTAAAAAATCATGACTACAGTCATATGGCAAGTTGCCAGACGGCAGTCAAAAGCGAAGACAGTTAGGACCAATTTGAAGTTACTGCAGCAGTCAAGTGATAGTAGCTTGGTCTAGGGTATGGACAGTGAAAGGAGAGAAGGGGTAGGGAATGGAAGCAGTGGACAGAGACTTAGAAGGTAGAATGGCCAGACTTTAGTAAAATTGCATTGGGTTAGACCACACTGATTGGACTGGACTGAACTGGATTGGATTGGATGAGGATAAGGGAAGTACTGAGAAAAAGAAGAGTTGCCACTGATTCCAAGGTTTTAAGTTAGATGAACTGGGTGGATTTCAGTAGTTGAATCAGAATAATGATGGTAGAGGGGGTCTTGTTTTGACTATTTTTGTTTGTTTACTTGCTTGCTTCTATTTGGCAGGAGGTATCAATCATGAATTCTGTTTTAACCATATTTCACTAGAGATACCTAAGACACTCTGCACCAGCACAATGCCTGTCAAGTAACAGGTCCCAAATAAATACATTTGAATGAACAAATGACAAAGTAGAAAAATATGGGAGGTGGCTGAATATAATTGGCGTAAATGTTAGAAGTAGGGTCAGGTATAGGTTTGGGAATCATCTATAGATACTGTCTGAAACTTGCCTTAAAGTGTTTGATGGGAAATGAAAAGAGCCTAGGACAAGTCTTACGGAACTCCAGCAATTTAATAGACAGAAAAGAAGTCAGCAAACAACACTAAAAAACGAAAAAGAAAAACAGAAGGGGGTAACGTCATGAAAACCAAGATGTGGGAACATTTCAAGAAGTTCAAGAAGAAAGTTGTCAATCATGCCAATTCAAGCAAAATGGAGACTAAAAACTAGATCCTGGGGTTGGAGGTAATTGGTGACCTTGGTGAAATGTTTCACTGTGTTATAATAATTATAACACAGACTGGAATAAGTTAAAGGAGTAAGCCTGAATTTTTTTCTTGACTGAGAGATGAGTAAATAGAAACAGGAAGTTTAGACAACTCTTTCTTGGTAAGAAGGAAGGTGAGATAAAGGGCAGTAGTTGGAAAGGAGGGAAGGGTCAGAGATGAGTTTTGTCTTTATTTAATATATGGGAAACTTAAGCACATTTAAAAGTTGATGTGAAAGGTATGTTTATAGATACAGAAAAAAATGGAAGAATAGATATTATAAAACAAACTTACATCCTTAAAATATGTAAAATTAATTGATGTTTGTTTAGATGTCAGCTCAATTATCACTTCCTCAGAACAACTGTCCTTTACCTACCTGACTATATCAATTCTCTCTCTATCACATTCACCTCAGCACTTATCACAGTTATGATTCACTTTTATTTGAGTTGGTCTTTTATTAATGTGTCCATCTCATGGAATTTAGTCTCCATGAAGGGAGTAAACGTCTCTTTTTTTTTTGTCCTCACCAGTATATCCCCAGTGTTTCCCCTAAGCAATACCTAGTTTCTAAAATAAGTGTTAAGTAGTTAAATTAATTATAGCATGTTATCAGCAGAAAAATCAATTAGGATTCATCCACACAGACTTTAAATAGGAGGATGCTCTTCATCAATGAAAAGATATCTAAGTTATCTTGTTCAGCTAAAAATAAAAAGGGAAGTAGGTTGACAATATGCTTAATATGATGCCATATGTGTGAAGTGTGTGTGTGTACCTATTTGTAAATGCAGAGAGAATCTCTACACAGAATCTTTTTTTTTTTTTTTTTTTTGAGACGGAGTCTCGTCCTGTCACCCAGGCTGGAGTGCAGTGGCATGATCTCAGCTCACTGCAACCTCCGCCTCCTGGGTTCAAGTGATTCTCCTGTCTCAGCCTCCCAAGTAACTGGGAGTACAGGTACCCACCACCACGCCCAATTAATTTTTGTATTTTTAGTAGAGAAGGGGTTTCACCATGTTGACCAGGCTGGTCTTGAACTCGTGACCTCAAGTGATCTACCCGCCTCAGCCTCCAAAAGTGCTGGGATTACAGGGGTGAGCCACCAGGCCCGGCCCAGAATCATTTTTAAAAGTAGTCATTATGTAGTCATTATGTGGCTCACGCCTGTAATCCTAGCACTTTGGGAGGCCGAGGCGAGCGGATCACAAGGTCAGGAGATCAAGACCACGGTGAAACCCTGTCTCTACTAAAAAATACAAAAAAAAAAATGAGCCGGGCGCAGTGGCGGGCGCCTGTAGTCCCAGCTACTCGGGAGGCTGAGGCAGGAGAATGGCGTGAACCCGGGAGGCGGAGCTTTCAGTGAGCCAGGATCGCGCCACTGCACTCCAGCTTGGGCGACAGAGCGAGACTCCGTCTCAAAAAAAAAAAAAAAAAAAAAAAAGTAGTCATTATGGTTGTCCCTGAGAAGAGAATCTGGGTGGTTAAAAGAAAGATTTCATTTTTCACTGTAGAACTTTTTTCCATCTTTGAAATCCTGTATCATATGCATCTATTATCTATTCATCAAAAAGTTAGATTTTTAAAAAAGAGTAAAAAGTAAATAAGCCAACAAACAAAAAATGACTTGTCTTTTTTTTTTTGAGACAAAGTCTTGCTCTGTCACGCAGGTTATAGTGCAGTGGCACAATATCGGCTCACTGCAGCCTCCACCCCCTGGGTTCAAGTGATTCTTGTGCCTCAGCCTCCTGAACAGCTGAGACTATAGGTGTGCGCCACCACACCCAGCTAACTTTTGTGTTTTCAGAAGAGACAGTGTTTCACCATATTGGCCAAGCTGATCTCAAACTCCTGGCCTCAAGTGATCCACCCGCCTTGGTCTCCCAAAGTGTTGAGATTACAGGCGTAAGCCACCACACCTGGCCAAAAACTCACTTTACCATGGCAGATAGACACGCGGGCTGTTATTGTGATATAAAACACTCAAGAAGTCCAGATGGAGACTTCTGGAAATTAGCAAAGCACAGACTCACAGGTCAATGTAAGGCTGGGTGCAATGGCTCACTGTTGTAATCCCAGCACTTTGGGAGGCCAAGGCAAGAGGATTAAGCCCAGGAGTTCAAGGTGAGCCTGGGCAACATAGTGAGATCCCATCTCTACAAAAAAACAAAAAATCAGACAGGCATGGTGGCACATGCCTGTAGGCCCCAATTACTCAAGAGGTTGAGGTGGGAAGATTGCTTGAGCCCAAAAAGTCAAAGCTGCAATGAGCATGACTGCGCCACTGCACTCCAGCCTGGGCAACAGAGCGAGACCTTGTCTCAAAAATAAAATAAATATAATACAACATAAATAAGTCTAAATAAAATATATTCTTGCTAATGGCAATCAAAGTTTACCTTAAAAAAACATAGTATTTATAAAGCACCAAGTTTATATATACATATAAAACATATATTTATAGGTATTTTTAACTATTAAATATTTAAATATTCTATTAAATTATTTAAGTATATTATGCTCAGAGTAAAAAAAAATCAAATAGAGAAAAATAAAAGGTAACTCGAGTTTTATTCACAGTGTGTTTTATAATTATAGGATATATCTATATATAATTTTTTAATTCAAATGGGATCATAATATACACACTATTATATTACTTTCTTTTCTATTCACAGTATGTTTCACATCTCTCCACGTCACAAACTTTTTTAGCTGTATAGTACTCCACTGGTCAGATATACTATAAATTAACTTAACCAGTCCCCCCTACTGCTAACATTTTTTAGGTTTTTGGCAGTTTTTTTGCTATTAGTGACAACACTACAATATACAATCTTATATATGCTCTTTTTATATTTTGCATGCACATTAAGTACATCTACTCTATAAATTCCTAGAAATAGATTTGATGAGGCAAAGGCAAACATACTGTTTTCAGACAATTGTTAACAAATTACTCTCTAATCAGTTATACCAATGGATACTACCATGAATGGTATGAGTACCTATTTCCCAATATCTATCCAATAGTAGGCATTACCAACTTATTTAATGTATATTTACTTCATTTTAATTAAGATTAGCATCCTTTCATGTTCACTAGCCATCTATATTTTTTTCTGTGCATTGCCTGTTCATATCATGTGCCCATTTTTATATTATATCATTCATTTCTTCCTTAGTGATTTATAAAAGTGCTCTGTAACTTATAAAAGCAATCTTTTTGTTACATATTGCAAATCATTTTTTCTCATTTCTATTTGCCATCTTAAAACAAAATTATATTTTTCAAGCGATAAATATATTTATATTATATATTTTTTATATAAATATATTTATATAATACATATTCTTAAAACAAAATCATATTTTTCAAGTGATCGAGTGTGTAAATCAATAGCATGCTTTAGGACTTCTGAGTTTTGTGTCATATTTTCCTTTTACTCCAAGATGACAGAACAATTCCATTTTTCTTCCAGCGCTTTTTCATTTTCCTCTTTTATGGCTCTTTGATCAATCTAAAATTTGTTCAGTATAAGCAATGCGTCAGGGATTTAGTCATATTATTTATCATTATAATATAACAAGTTGTCTAGAAACTATTTGTGAGATAATCTATCTCTAAACATTGATTTAGCATACCAACATTATCATATATCAAATTCTCATACATACTGATAGCCATTTTTGAACTCTCTACTCTGTTTCATTGCTTTCTCCATTATTTTGTCAGTAACAAACTCTTA